ATTTGCCGTTTGTATGATTCCGATTGTGTATCACGAACAATAGACCAACAATATTCAAGCATGAGTCTGATGTCTTTTCCTTTGACACGTTTTCCAATGATCGCAATGTCTTGGTGAAAACATTCACCATGTTCATCACTGAATTAACCCAAATTTTGTGGAAAAAAATCCAAATGATTGTGAAGAAAGTGTATTTTGAGCGACTTATTAACTTTCATTGCATGAAAAGCCGAAATCATTTCAGCAATAATTTTTTTGTAATTGTTAACTTTTTTATTGCTTAGAAAATTTTCGATGACGGCTACAAAATCATGCTCGTTTTTCCATTGTATTCAACAATTTATGGAAGTCTTCATTTTTTATCAATTTTGATATATCTGGACCATTAAATACACTTGAATAAGAATTTAAATTAACCAAATAAATGAAACGATAGAAGCAATGTTAAAATCAATTTATCTGCTTCGATTTTTGATATTGACAATTTTGGAAATATTGTGTGCAATAACTGAAAAGCTTTGCCAGAAGGATCAATTTCGAACAAAATTACGAGTGAGAGTTTAATGTAAAGCGAGAGTTTAATGTGAAGCGGCAGCAAAATCATTTTTCTTGAATCAATCAAGTACATGATCGATGCTTAACTGATCCAATTGGAAGTTTGTGCGTAAATTGCTTATGAAATTAGGGTAAAGTAGATCTATCTTATGATCTTCCCAAACACACAGAAAACATTGATGTTTGGAATATCCTTTTTACAAACCAGTCAGCAATCCCACAACTTTTAGGTCGTAACAAATTCTTTATTCATGCTAACGGTAATTGATCAATTGTAGTATTAACTTCATATTTTTATAATTTTCCAGTATTTGTAGCGTAAGCAATTGGAACGGATGGATATTTCTTTTCAATATGAAGTAAGACTATCTTCAAATTAGTCACTGACGAATCAATAAAGAGTCGCCTTTTCTGTGGATCATGAGGATAACCGATCTCTCTGAACAATGCATCAACATCATTGCAAGTTCTTTTTAAAATTTTCGTGTAAATAGAAATATTTGTCGAATTTAATTGTGATGTCGCGTTTATGTCTTCTTATTTTAAAGTAAATTTTTAAACTAAATTCCATTGCTTCAGATGCGACTATTTCTACTGTACCTTTTGATAAATTGGCGTCACGAACAATGTCGTTGAAGTCCGTTTGTGTCATAAAATGCGGCACTTTATAACTCAATTTACTTGATGTTGCAATAAATTCGGATTCGAGCTCAGAAAATATGTCACTTGAAATAGTAAGATGATTTTGATTGTTTTTTTCTCTAGTATGTCTTCTGAAGGCGCAGTCGGATATTCTGCAGAACGTACTCATGCCGGAATTACGGATTCTATATCGGCGTAATTAATTTTTTTCAAGGATACTGATATTATCTGAAACCAGAAATTTTCAATTTTGTTGCGCAAAAATAGCATATTTCAAGTACATGTTCAGTATGTTATAGCCAAGCAAATTGTCGGTTTTAATGGGATTTATTTTCCCATCCGAACAAACAATGATAACAATAATCTCACACAACTTCTGGCACATACCACAAATTCGGTACGTACGTCACATAGAAATAGATTTCAAATGTCGCCATAATATTTTTTGTTATATTTTACATATGGCTTGGAAATGCAAATAAACACACACATAACAATAATTATTTCGATTTGGACTGCATTATTGTTTATTTTAATATTTTCTTTACTTTCAATTTCGTTTTAAATGTACAGTTTGAAATTTCATCAACAAATCCGCAGTCGCGAACTCTTCGAATTGAGCAAGAACAGGGAATGAGCTGGATTAAGTAATTGCTGGTTATTTACGTCGCTTTGTTTAAATCATGACAATTTCGAAATAAGTCAGTACCGAGACACGGGTATGCTTTTCTAACATCTACTTTCAGAATCTCTTTAAATGTTTCATGGGAGGAAATCTGTATTATAAACAGTATTATAAAAAAACATTTGATGATAAAAAATGTTGATGATAAAATAACGACTTGATCTGGTAAAACGTCGAGAGACGTATTTTTTTACATCTACTTTCAGAATCTCTTTGATTTTTTTCATGGGAGGAAAAAAATCGTTTTTTGTCGTACTGTGTTATCTATGTGTGCGTGCGCACGCGCGCGCGCGGAAAGCTTTTTAAATTTTTCTTCAGTACCCTGATTCTGATACTCTTAATGATGGTTTAACATCATTATGTTGTCGTTGCAATTTTTTTATCATGTAGTATAATATTTGCGCAATAATGATATCTAAACTGTCGTTAAAAGTCATAGATTCGTGTCTCTAAAATGTGAAAATCGCATAGCGACACAGTTCTGGTGGGAAATATCGGAGTCCAGCCTACAGTCCAGATATATATATTGCCATGTGATTTCTATATCTTTGGAGATATAATAATTATTAACATCAGTTAATTTCAACATGAATTCAACATTTTTCATGTTGAGTTTTTCATTTGATTCTTTTGATATAATTTTTCAGAATTTTTATGTAACTTTTAGAATGTCTCAGAATTTCTATATAATTTTGTAACTATTAAAATATTTCTTTGATTTGCTACGACTTAGAACACCTTTTACAAATAATTTAAAAATTTCTAAGATTTCTTATTCTAATTTCTAAAAAACTTTTAAAATCTGAAAAAGTTTCAAGTTTTTTTTTAAATCTTTTAAATTTTAAATTTGATAAATTCTTAAAAATATTATCAGATATTTTGAAAATTTTTTTGATCAAAGTTTCGATTTATAATCGCTCTCGCAGAGCTTTTGAAACGATTTTGTTTATTAATTTACAGGAAACTTCAAAAAGTCCAGACGGATTGCTTAAAATAGGAGTAAAGAGGAAATTCGAGATTATAAAAAGAACAGGAGGAAACGAAGGAAGAGAAACAAGGATGCTTAGCAAATCCGAAAGAGCACAACATAAACCTTTCTCCTGCGATCTTTGTACTTTGGCTTTTACGAGAGCATCGCACTTGGCAAGGCATAGAAGAGTGCATACTGGCGAAAGACCCTTTGCTTGCAGTATTTGTCCACGAATGTTCGCTAGGCAAGATAAGTTGAAACAACATTTGGATTCGCATCTGCAATGGCCGAAGAAGAAGGGCGGACAAACAATATCTTCATCACCGACGAAAGGCAAACGCGGCAGGCCACGTAAGGTAGCGGCAGAGAAATTTGAAAATTTAAAATTGCAACCCATCATATAAGAATGTTTATCTGTATTGTACTTACAGTTAGCATTATCTTAGGAAACAAACTGATATTATTTGCCATTATTTTGACATTAAAATGACAAGAAATCAACGTCAGTTTATTTGCTGGCGAAATTTGCTACTTACATTTGTAAACGCCTAGAAAAGTTATAGAGTCGACCAGAATTCGAATTCGAGACTTCATTCTTATTCTTAGTACTTCGTGTTATTTATCTCATGACTGCTTCACTGTTCATAATTATTCTGATCTCCTATCAATACCTAACCTACTTTATGGCCTCGTATTCTTACATATTTGTTTCTCATACTTCTTTAAATATAATATAATATTTTCTTGCGCTCTTTCATGACGGACTGTATGTAGCTGAGCATCTTTCTAATAGCCTAATCATATCAGCCATTTGTATATGTTTCAGGTTAATTTGGAGCAATCTGCGATGGAAGAAATTTTAAAATTTGGCGAGTTTAGCTCTCTATTGAACAAGTCCCATTCCGCAAATTCAACGAATAATAGTGAAAACTCCGGGAATATTGGAGACGATGGCAAGAGGAAAGAAGTGCATCGAGATGAGGATGACTCGTCCCACAGGGAAAAAGATAACCGTGGTTGCCAAGTTGAAAATGGTCAGGACATTGTTTAATAGAATCTTCAGTTGGAATTTGGATTTAAGTGTCTGTAAACTTATTTTTCTATGTTCAAACAATCGCAAAACGCGATCAATGTAACATAGAAGAAAAAACTTATCGAGCTTCTTTGAAAAGTCGTGATATCTTTTTCCCGAGTCTATTTAAGTTCAATAGGGCTTATAAAATGTCATCCCGTTCCGATTGAATATATTCGTATATGCAAAGTACGTAGCGAACTATTGTATTTAACATAAGTACCTGAATCAACTACTAATGTTACTATCAAAGCGCACGAGCCTCTAAAGAAACTAACATGAATGAGAGTCGAAGCAAAAGTCGATTATCGTCGACTGGATGCATCGGTGTAAATTGGTATCGAAAGATAAGATTAATATAAAGGGATATCTACACACACACACACACACACACACACACACACACGCGCGCGCGCGCGCGCGCACGCGCACACACACACACACACACACAATATAAATATATAAATCCGACCAAATAATATACGCGTGACGAATACGGCCTGATTTTCACTGTAAATAATTTTAATTTTTCGACGTGTTGTCGCTCGATATTTTATATTAATTGTGATATATTTAGATATTGAGTTTGAAATTCAAGTTTAGTTATGAAGACATCCATGCAGCACTGTAAAAAAATAACACATTCAAATGACATTATTCTAAAGAAATCTTGCGAGAGGCAATGTTGGATATCTAGATACATATATATCTAAATACATATATAGAGATACATTTTGTATGTGAGACTTGTATGTGAGGCTTGTATATTCGAATTAGAATATCTGTACCTAAATACGAAACATAGTATCTGAATTGTTTTTTAGATTTTATTTACACATTTTTATATACATTTTCACATACTTTTTTATCTCTAGTAGAAAAAAATATTCTTTTTGAAGATCATTTTTTGATTCGAAAATTAATGTCGTTCATGGCGATATAAAGATTTACCTACATAAATTGAGTTCAGGAAGCATACTGTCAGTGCTATTGCGTTTGCATTGGCTACACATGTAGAAAGAAGCTTTGCAATTATTATAAAATTCTTTAATATGATTATTTTATGCATTTAAATCTATAGGAATCAAAGTCAAAAATCGATCATAAGAATTTTACAACAGTAAAGCTGCTTTTTCTGTTAAATGTAGCCTTTGGCATATTACATTTTTATATACTGCCGTTAATAAATTTAAAAAAAATGCTCGTGATTTTCTCATATATTACAAAAATTTATAGCGTACGTTTTCTTTTGACTGCACTAGTGTAACACTTAGACAGTGTAGCGTGTTTCCGTGATGGTGATAGGTGAATTCATTCGGTGTACCGTGTTACGATGTAATGCAAGTTTTTTGCGCAAAGTGAGATATTGTTACCATCTCAAAAGGATTACGTACAGTCAGTGACATTTAAAATTTGGAAAATGCATATTAACCATAAGCAGGATTTTAGCAGAATAATGTACACTGGTGTGCATCACTGCAATGCACGCAACTGCAATGCAAAACTATTTCCAGTGCATCCCAATGAAAAATGCTATTAAATTCCTCGATGAAAAAAGATTGTAGAGAAATTTTTAAAAATGTATTTAAAAAAGGAAAAAGCTTTAAATATCGGCATTTGAATTTTGTCTTTATGATATTTTGTTTCTAAATTATATCAAATTGAAAATTGATATTTTTTTAGATTTTTATTATATTTTAAAGCGCTGTGATCTGGAATGTGTAAACCTGAATGAAACATCAGACAAACATCGGACAAAATTTAACAAATAGAATAATTCCGATATAACGTTGCATTTAACAAAAACGTAATTTATTAAGTATTATTTACTATTTTTAAGATAAATGAATTATATCAGTAAAAACTTTGTATTGTCTATTACTATGAAACAAATATTAGAAATCCGAAATACTTATTTTTGATATTAAAAAAAGAACTTTTTGCAACCCTTGCACATTTGCCATAAGGGAACTAATAGACTCATTTTTCTGTTTCGAATTTTTACAGACAAAATTAAGAGACTTATCGAAAAAATGAATTCTATATACATTTAATTACCTAATAATAAGGAGAAACTGATTTATAAAAGTGAATTAATATGAAAAAAAAACATTTTTCTAATGCATTCCATCTAATTCAACTAGCCTTAGGACTGAGGTAATTTGACTAAAGATTATTAAAATAAAAATTAATGTATTGGGAGTACAAATAAGTTTCCGCCATTTGCAAAAGACGGCGCCACTAATAAACTATAGTTAAAATTGTTTGACTGATGTAAAAAGACATATCGAAAGATTGGACATCCGGCAACACCATAATCTTGAAATATTAGCGATTTTGTGTCAGCATCATATATTTTTTTTTGTACGAAAATGTTGAGTTTTGAATAAGCGTCACTTATGCGAAATTTTGATTTACTTCTTTAATTTGAAGAAATCTGCAGCTGAGGCTCATAGATTGCTTGTAGAAGTATATGGTGATGCTGCCTTAAGTGAGAGAAGTTGTCGTGAGTAGTTTCAAAAGTTTAAGAACGGTGAATTTGACGTCGAAGACAAAGAACGTAGCGGAAAGCCGAAAGTGTACGAAGACGCGCAATTGGAAGCATTGGATGAAGATTCGTGCCAAACGCAAAAAGAACTTGCACTTACATTAGAAGTGACTCAACAAACATATCGTTTGAAATCATTGGGAATGAGTCAAAAGTAAGAGAATTGGATTCCATACGAACTGAAGCCGAGAAACGTTGAACGTCGATTTTTCATATGTGAAATGCTGCTTGCCAGGCACAAACGAAAGGGTTTTTTGCATCGTATAGTCACTGATGATGAAAAATGGATCCACTACGATAATTCAAAGAAGAGAAAATCATGGGAACCACCTGGCCATGCTTCAACATCGACAGTTAAGAATATTCATGGAAAAAACTCATGTTGTGTATTTGGTGGGATCAGCTTGGTGTCGTGTATTATGAGTTGCTCAAACCGAACAAGACCATTACTGGGGCTCTCTGCCAAACACAAATGATGAGATTGAGCACTCAAGGAAAAACGCGCCCACTACTATTCCAGGCATGACAAAATTATTTTCCTGCATGATAATGCTCGACCATATGTTGCGGCGCCGATCAAAACTTACTTAGAAACACTCAAATGGGAAGTTCTACCCCACCCGCCATATTCTCCAGACATTGCTCCTTCCGACTACCATTTGTTCCGATCAACGGCCTATCTGAGCAGCACTTCACATGAAGATACCAAAAATTGTATCGATGATGAATTGGATAGCCTCAAAAAATGAAGCGTTCTTCCGATGCGATATCCACATGCTACTAGAAAGATGGGAAAAAGTAATGACTAGCGATGGCTATTACTTTGAATAAAACATTATGTACCGTTCTTTCACAATAAATGCTTAATTTTTGATAAAAAATGGCGGAAACTTATTTGTATTCCCATATTTTAAGCTAAATCTTTGGATACATATTAATAACACTTTTATAAAAATATATTTTAAACATTCGCTTCGCAGAGCAAAACAATGCTTCTTTTTGCAAAATTTTTTTCATTTCGTGCAAATACATGTCCAATGAGTCTAATTTTGGACATGAGAGAACTAAACTTATAACATTTACCATTGAGGAAAATCTCTTTAAAGTAATAAAATTTTAAATAAGTACTGTAAGAGTCGTCACTAAATGAATCATACAATTCCATACTGTGGTTAGTCTACTATCCTCATCCATTCATTTTTTAAAAACAATATATAATAACAAAGGCACATAAACAAAAAAAAAATCTGTTGAATTTTATTAAATAAGAATTACATTTACTATCTAAGTAAAAATCAAATATCTCAGATAATCATATACGATTGTAAAAATTTTAAGAATAAAAATATTTACTTAGATGTACGATTTTTTAAAAATTGTGGCATAACTTCTATCATAAGCCTAGTTTCTTCAACTGGAAGGTGGAAGAATCAACTAGTTACAATCGAATATTCTCCTGTTACAGTCGAATGACAGGGAATGCTCGATTGTAGTTGATTGGTTCTTACATTCTGATCCGATTTAAATTTTTCTCGGTGAACCTAGGTTATAGATGTATTCGCAATAAGATGTTACAGCAGATTTAGCAGCAGTTGCTGCTGCGTTGTCAGATATGTTTACACGTGTCTCGCGTGTTTTGTTTTTAATGTAGCTTCGATTAGTCTACCCCTATAATCAACTGTCCCCGGTCTCCTCTATATCCCATAGAGGAAGTACTTATAGGGAGAGGGGAGTATGTTGTAGCTTTTGAGAAATTTACAAATAATGCTTATAAATAAGACATAAAATGACACAATAACTTGTAAAATATGTTCAAAGTTTTATTAAGAAAGAAGAATGAAATATGTATATGATAATAGATAATAATTTTCCTAGATATATTATATTACAAGTGTTATTACATGAGATATTTCTTGTAATGTGTTTATTGCATTTAGTGCACTGGATCCAATCTGAGCACTTTGTATACTTTGGGCATAAGTCCTCGCTAAAAATGCTGTTTATCCCGAACACGAGGGATATATAAAACAATAAACTAAATAAAGATTACAAGAATGAAGCACTTGTATCTTGCTATACAACATGCTTTACTATTCTTCTACATTTATGTATTACAAAATAATCATTAAGTCTTTTACGCGTCCTATAGTAATCATTTTATGTAGATTATAATTCATGATGACGCTACTTATAATATTACAGTGATAAATCGATTCAACTCAATAATTTCATTAATATTGACATTTATAATAAGAAACAAAAATCATAACACAATACTAATATTTAGGGTGCGGATATTCGTGCACGATCCTGGGCCGCGGAGAACCGCTGTGCGCGAATGAATCGAATACTCACTGAAATGAGATAGCAACATTTCTCGAGAAGACTCGAAGCCCGCTTATCTCGATTGGCGCATGGCCTAATCAATATAAGCAAAGCGCGGAGATTTTTTTATATTTTGCAGTATTGATTCGAGATGAGAACGATTTTCTTTCTCAAAATGCTGAACTCTTTAAAGGAAATATTGGCCTGTAATTAAAATTGATAAAGATATATTTATGATGTTTTTATAAAGCTGAACCAACTTTATTGTTATAAGTATTGTTCTACATACTTAAATAACACACTTCATTTTCTATAAATC